CTATCCACATTATGATTTTACTTAGAGTTTCAGGATCAATTTAGGGCAAGCATTAGGAAATCTAAAGCTTCAGGAATCCATATTGCAGACCCCATTCAGCCTGATGCAAAGAGTTATGAAGAACACTGGTAATCAGTAGCAAGCACAGGTTTATATTCTGGTGTGAAGAGTGGAGTCTTGGTTACACACAATTTCAGATTTAGGATTTGCATTAGGAAACTAGTGGCACGCACAGCCACATTTTTGCTGTATTTCAACAGCCTTCTTATGCATCAGTGTAAAATCATTTGTCTTAAACTGTGCATCACTTTAAGACAAAGCCTTACTTTGTTACACTGCCACTGGAAATGATCCTCAATTCAAATTTCAGGTTAGGGTTAGGAATGGGGTTAGGATTAGGAAATTTGTAAAGCCTGAAGAACTCTGCTGAACTTGGTGCGTGTTGAAGACTGCTGGTAAAGGTGGAGTCAGAGATATTTTGTAAGATTTCAGGCAAGAGACACATAATTTTTTAAGGATAGAAGTGAATATAGAAAATTAATAGCCTGAAAATCCCTTGTATTTGGACAGACTTGCAGAGTAAGAAAAACTGAGAGGTTTAGTTTGTTTTCCATTGTCTTTCTCACATTTTCCAGTCTAAAGTTCAGGAAAAGGTTAATGTTGTACTCAACATTAGGAAATCTAAAGCTGCTGCAGGACTTGCAGAAATTCGCTTTGGAGAATCCATGAGAATTTAAGGTGGGACCTTGGGGCTACTGCTTTTATTTATTTAATTTATTTATTTATTTATTTTGGGTAGTCCTAATGCTATATACGTACTTTATATATAAACATGTTCTATGTATATATGTGTGTGGTTTATATATATGTGTGTGTGTGTATATATATATATATATATATATATAAAACACATAACACGGGCATGTGTTTTACCCAGCTGGGTAGCTGAGCACCACATGCCACTCTCTCCTCCTCAAAGAGAAAGGAGGAGAAAATACATGAAAAGGTCCCAAGGGTTGAGATAAGGACAGGGAGATCACTCTGTGATTATCATCACACACAAAACAGACTCAGCATAGGGAGATTAATGTAATCTATTACCAATTACTAACAAGCTAGAGCAGTGAGAAAATTAAAGTAAACTAAAAACACCTTGCCCCATATCTACCCTCTTCAGTCTCCTCCCCCTGAGTGGTTCAGGGGAATGGGGAATGCCCCTGCTCCCCGTGGGGTCCCTCCCACGGGATGCCGTCCTTCCCGACCTGAGTCTGCTGGGGCTGCCCACAGGCAGCAGCTCTCCAAGCACGGCTCCCACATGGCTCCATACCATGGGGTCCATCCATCCCCCAGGAGCAAACTGCTCCAGCACGGGTCCCCCACAGGTGGGTGGCAGCTCCCCCAAACCCCTGCTCCTGCGTGGGCTCCTCTCCACGGGCTGCAGCTCCGGCCCGGGGCCTGCTCCACCAGGGGCTCCTCCACGGGCTGCAGCGTGTAGATCTGCTCCATGTGAGACCCATGGGCTGCAGCGTGCCTGGAGCACCTCCTGCCCTGCTTCTGCATTGACCTTGGGGTCTGCAGGGCTGGTTCTCAGTTTGCATTCTCCAAGCTGCTGCTGTGCAGCGGGTTTTATTTCCCCTGTATTAAAACTGCTCTCACAGAGGCACAAACAGCATCATTTAATGGCTCAGTGCTGGCCAGAGGCAGGTCCCTTTGGAGCCAGCTGAAAATGGCCGTGATCTAACATGGGGCAGCTGCTGGATTCTTCTTACAGAGGCCACCCCTGCAGTCCCCCACTACCAAAACCTTGCTACATAAACCCAGTACAGCACATATTACATAATATTAAATCTATTAGAATGTGTATTTTATAATAAAACTTATATACCTATATAAACACGTATCTACGGATCTAGTCCCCGTTCTTCAACAAGAGCAAGGAGAGTGGTTTATATTAACCCTATCTGGCTTTGTAACATCGTGGCCTGGCATGATCCAATATTTCTCTGTGTTTTTGTTTGTTTGTTTATTTTTCAGCTTTAAGTTTACAATTTTAATGATAAACGCGATTGCATACTTGACTACACACACACAACTAATCTCCAAAAGACAGAAGTCTACCACTTTACCCACTCAAAGCCCTGTAAATTCAACAATCATTTCATTCCTTAAGACTATTCTTTTCTACCCATTGCTCTGTTTCTTTCTGAATCCTGTAAGATCTCTGAAGATTATAAGAAGGCTGGTGCCTATCCAGGACATTAAATTCTATTCTATTTCAAAATATGATTTCCCTCATTGTTTGATTCTCTATTGTCCTTTTAGACAGGAGCAGGTTTGTGACTCAGAATTGGTATTTTTTGTTAATTCTTGTTGTAGGATTAGAGACATCATATAATTAAGATTAGCATTGTAGGCTAAGGCTACTGTAGGCTACTGTTCTCTTTTATCATTAATATCAGTGCAGTCTATAGCTAAGCTTAGGTCTATGGCTTACATTTAAGAAATCTAAAGCCTAAGGATCCTATTTTATTCCTGGATTGTTCCCAACCTACAGAATACAGAGAAGTGCTCATTCTGATAAGGACTTTTATTTCATTTTCATTTTATTGGTCCCCTGGCTATGATAAGGTAAGTATTATGGTTGGGATATAGTTAGTATTGAAAAAATCTAAACACTCAAAAAGCTTATTTAAGGTTCTTCAGAGTTTCCAAAGACAAAAAGAACAATTCCCACAGTTATTGCCAGTCTTCCAGTAGATTTTTTACCCAAGGATACAAGTTTAAGTTAGAATTGTGGCTACATTTCAATGACTTAAGAATCACAAAAATGTCCAAAACAGACAAAAGAACAAATTGGGATTGGGCGTTATTGTCTGTCTTATTGTAGGCTTTCAACCCCTCAGAGAATAACGCCAGTCCCAAGAATGCAATTAAGGTTCGGAACTGTAAAATAGACAACTTCAACCATCCAGTTTAGAGGATAGTTCTACACATCCTGAAAAGACAGGAAAATAAGATTAGGTACAAGCCCTTTAATCAAACTTGTTTGCATGGAGTGTCTGTAGTTTATGGTCAGAGCTGTAGTCAGGGTTCAGGCTTTGCAACCTGTAGCATAGGAAGCTATACTTATTACTGGGTTAGTTAAAGACTATGGCATTGGAAAGAATGCTCATAAGTGCCAGTAATATTTTTATATTACTGTGTTATTTGATTTTCTAGGCATCTTGGCTTACTACTAAATAAAATATTGCAAGAGAATACACTCAAGCATTGTTCCCTGCATCATTCCTATTGCTTATCAACAGCTTGCCTACACATCATTCACCTGCTCCAAATAACACTCTTCAAGACAAATTCTAAGTGTGATTTTAAAGATAGCTTACTCCAGGGGCAGTTCCCAAAAGGCCAGGCTGGATGAGACAGACTGTTTCGTTCTGCTCTATAGAGTCCTCCAAAACCCATCCACTTTGTACCCATACCTCCTTCTATTCTTGGGCATTCAACACACAACTTCTATTGCTGTTAAAAAATAAATAAATAAATAAATAAAACAAACAAATCTTCTCCATCTCCATGATTAGCCTTGAAAGTGACAGTTCTTGAGATGGAGGCACATAGCTACACATAATCTCACCCCAATGAAACTTTGCTACTAATATCAGGTCTGCTTCTTTAAATCTCATTTTAGCCATAGGAAGCATTGAATATTTTGAAGGAAAATTATTGGGGGAAAGTTCCTGAAAAGTCTGTCAAAATAACATGATGGGAAAAGCTGTGCAAAGATATGATAACTCAAAGCAATTCAATGGTAAGCATGCCCTCAGAACAAGGATGTGACTGCTTAAATTATTCTATTGGTTTAATACTCTAGAGCACTTCAGAAATGCCCCAAAACTCAATTTCAGAAAAATCCCTCCTTGGCCCAAGAAGTTGATGTCTTGAATGGATGAAAAAGTGAAGAGAACTCTGCACTGAACAAATGTAAAGAGAAAAAGAATAAAAACATTCCACCAATGCTTAAAATAGATGGAATACCTGGAGGTTACTTAGATAAAGGCTAGCCCAAAACATGATCTTTATAAACACCCTAAATGCATTCACTTGAGGAAAAAAAAATCCTGGCATTTTCAATACAAAGGACATAGGAAACAGAAATTTGGATGGATGCTATAGGTATTTTTCATTATGTGATCCCTTTCTGTTTCTTGTAGCTGAATGAAATACTGAAATCACAAAGGCACAGCTGCAGCAAAACACACTAGCTACAAAAACAACACAATTTATAAATGCCTTGTGTTATTGAAATCTTCCACATTTGAAACAAAAATTTAGTATTTCAGGGTAAGTACTGCATGAAATCTCTCCTCGAATTCTGTTTTCACCTGGCTACAAATTACATTCATTTTGCTATCAATGGAAAATGAGCAGTTATGTTCTCAGTCTATTTGCATTAAGAAAGATGAATCAGAAGCATCTTCCAGAGAACTGTCCATTTCAGCAGTACCCTAACGTTTCCTATTGTGAAAATTCTCTTTCCAATCCGCAAGTACAGAATGTATATCTAGCTCAACCTAACAATACAACCTATAGTAGGAAAAGCCTCTAATTTTGATATGAACTCAGGGCCCATCTTTAACACAATTTAGTGGTGACAGTACCAGGTGTTCAAAGGATTGACAAGGTGAACACATTTTCCAGCCTCTTGAAAGTTAAACAAGAGACACGCAAAACACTACCTTTGCTGCATAGTGACTGAAATTCGTTGTCATGAAATAACTGTAGGCTATCAGTACCATATGTGAAAAATGTTGATTTTAATCCATTTCTGTCGCAATGAATCCAACACTGTGTTTAACACAGCAGCAGAAAAGCCAAGGGCCAAGGGACTGTTGAGGGGAAAGTACCCAGATGTTTAGAACCCAGGCTGTAGCTCTTCAGTATCAAAGCTGAAATCCTCTTAAAGAGCAAAATGCAGGCTCTTCCAATGTCACGTCCTGCAGGACAGAGGTTTTGTAACTAAACAGAGCCTTGTGATGGCATAAGGCATTTGTTTCAGTGCTTTGAGTATGCATTTCACAATGTATTTGCAGGTAACCATGTTCACAAATAGAAATAGTCATGATAGTTCTGTGCATTTGCTACTAGAGCTGTATCCTTTAATCCTCCATTTCCCATATATGTGGTTAGATGGCTACCTAGCCTGTGCAAAAACAGGAGGGAGAAAAAAAATCTATGCATGTTCCATACTGAACAAGCAAAAGAAGCACATTTCTATGATTTAGTAGTAGGCTGAGCAGTCAGTTTTTTTACTGAAGAGTACTCATGAAACCTTCAGAAATGCTGAGCAAGACGTCTAGCTTTCTAGACCGTTTTATGTGTTATGAAAATAGCAAAACACGTACCTTCTCGCAGCTGTCTGCAAGTTCACTTCCCAGTAAAGAATTCAAGCACGTAGTTCCGGATTTCTGAGATGCACTGGGAAGATTAAATAAACAAAAAATATTTTTACTTCCTTTGTCTAAACTGGGGTGATATTTTACAGCTTGCATTACTGCAGCTACTCCACCACCTACATACTAGGATCTGCAGTCACGCAACAGAGAATTCCCTATCTTAGTCACAGTAATGCCAGGAAAACATTTACATTGCCCTTGTGGGCATCTCCTGTTTCACTCATCAACTCAGAGGAAAGACATATCAGTGAGGTTTCCCTGTGTGCCCTTTACCTGCAGCATTAGCTGCCTGGCACAGAGAGGTGTTCTGAATGGTATTACAGCAAATCTGAAACAGATAGTAAATACCATAAGTTCTCAACATTAATGAATTTTCATGTGCAGACCTAACAGAGTCTATCACTTAGTACATGGTACTAAGTAGGTACCCCTACCTACTTAACTGCTTAGGGCCTCTTCCCCCACAGCTCTTCTTGCCCCTCTTTTTCTTCTTTTCTGCTTGCACTCTTTCCTGTTGTCTTCCTTCCCTTTTCCTTTTCTGCTTCCCACACTGTGAAGCACTTAGTTCTGTTCCCTCTACCACACTCTCTATTGTAAATGCCTCTAATTTCTTAATTAATTGTTGCAAACAACTCTAAATCATAAATTAAATTGTGCTCACTGCCCTGTGAATTAAGTCAGTTCTCAAACTCTGCAAAATTTCTGAATTTTCTGTAATTAAATGCATTCATAATGTAAATGTTATTCCCACTGTGTTATTTAACATTTTTCCTTCCACCTTAAATCTGCTGCTTTAAGAGGCAGAATACATGCAACTTTAATATAACTTATTCAAAAACTAGCTTAAACTGAACTATTTTACTCATGAAATCCTTGTTTCCAGTCATTTGAATTATTGGGCATGAAGTTCTCTCTTACATATTTTCCCTAGTAATGCTAGATATCTCTCTTGAAGCTGGTTGCATTTCAATTTCTCCTGTTTGTATTCTCACTCTTTGTAGTTTCCATTTTCTATTCTCCTTACAAATTATTTTGTAAGTTTTTAAATTATTTTTTATTTAAATTATTATATTTTATTAAATTATTATGTAAGTATTAAATAATTTTAAATTATTTATGATACTGATACTTCTCAGTTTGAGACAAAGTAGAAGAGAGACTGACTTTCTAAATATTATGTCTTGAATTACTCTTCTATGAATGAAGCAGGTTTTATCATGCTCTAGCAAATGCATTTATTTTCCACTTTTCTTCTACCCTTTCGTATGTGTTTATCTGATTATGTAACCATTCAAAAATAAAACATGTATGGTCAGAGGGAAGGGCAAGGAGCAAAACCTCTGCCTTCTTCATAAGAGCCATATCCAGAAGCTTAGTGGAAAATCCTATCCTAAAGCCTTCTCCTCCCAACTCCCAGTATCAAAGTTCCCAGCCTAACCACAGAAGTGACCTGTCTTCCACCAAAAGAACCTTTAAGAACCTTTCTTCCCCCGGTTTGGCTAGTCCTGCTTGAGGGGAAGAGCAGAGGTGGCCATGAGTCCCTTCAGGCAGCCACGGGAAATTAACTACAGACTACTGTTTCTTGTAGGATTACTACTCTGTTACATACTAACGGGGGGTTGGAAATGGCTGTTTCCACTTCCAGCTGTGTTTTCTAAGACAGCTTTTTTTTTTTTTTTTTAAAGAAGTAGTTAAAACAAACAAAACCAAAACCCTTTGTGAGTAGTACCTTAAATCAAGATGTTATCTAAGAAGCTTCCAAACTTTATTAAGAAAGAATATTATTTTACTATATGGGAAAATGAGGAATTATGTAATTAATCATATTTATTTCAGATCTAATGGAAAATAGTCCCATAATCACAGAGAAGGAAATAATTTGTAATTATAATAATTATAGAAGAAATAGATGTAAAATTATACACAAGTTTCCAGCAGTGCATAAACCCAGTAGGCTGGGAATTTACTAGCACTATGGGAGACATTCATTAAAACTTTCATATATTGGTATGAAATACCATAATTACTTTGAGAAGAACAGTATCTCATTATAGATAATTACTCCCATTTCAAGCAGCTTTAGGCTATTGGAACTGGCAAGGAGAACTCTGAGGGTGCTGTGTTTTGCACCCTAATGATGCACAGGTTTTGTCACATGAGGATCTCCATAACACAAGTGATCTTATGTCTTTGGGTACTCACTATAGAAAGAAAGCTGGTGGCAGGATTTCTGACGACCTTTAATCATGTTCACTGAATTCCAGCACATGTATTGGTGGTGCATGAAAATCTGAACAGTAAGCTTTTTTAACTGTGGCTGTGTGATAACAGCATCTAATTATCCATATGCATTTTGTTCAGCTAATTATATTCATAGGGAAGAATAGCTTCTAGAAGCTGTTTTCCAGGCATGTGCCATCAATAAGCCACGTCTGGATGTGTATTATTAGGTTTAATGCCACACAGTCAGTTTAAGACATGCTCCACTAGCATTCCAATGCTAGTAATTTGGGCCTTAATGCTTAATTACATCACAGCCCTCAGACAGTAACTGGATAGTACTCTGGTCAAAATCTTGACTCAGCAGTGTGAGGTTAATTAGGTAGGACTATAAAACAAATGAGTGAGAGTATCACAGTTTAAAATGCATGTTATTTATTTATTTATTTATTTTTAATTTTAGCAGCGGTTCATTGAGGTTGGGTACATCACTTCTCTTGCTTTATTTAGGGAAAGGAAAAGACTTGAGAGAGTTGGAGATTGTATCAGCTGAGTATTAGGCTACCTGGATCCCATCTCAAACTCAGATGACCACAAAAAAACAACAACCCTACAAGCACACCAAATTTAACAATCCATGAAACTATCACAACAGAAGGGCAGGTTATGTGCTGCCAAATGCACACTGACTGTCACTGTCAGGAGTCCCATATCCCCTCACACACACCCACAAGGTCTAGGAGAGCTCCTACCTACCAAAGCCTTCCTTGTGTGAGTAGCAAAGTATTAAATCAAATGGTGTCAAAATGCCAGTTTCTGTGAAACTTGCTTTGACATATGTAAGGAAAACATTTAGATTATATATATGGCTATGGTACAGACAGCCATTCCCCTGTGAAGCTTGATTTATGTATGTTTATAAAGTATCTGGAAACCCTCAGAAAAAAAAAGATGTAAGAAGCAGTGCAAAATAATCCTTGTAATCAGTAACTGGTAGAAGGTGGGCACATTGCTCTGGTTTCCATTCCTGACCGCTGTCTTCAGCCCACCCAGCAATATAGTCTCATTACTCCCACTTAATTCTTTGTTGTATTAAAACAACATAACACTTTAAATAATATTTCAGCTGTATTGTATTTTCCTTCATTGTGTTTTCCCTGTGCTTTCCTTTCCTTCCTGTACACCTAAACACATAGCATATGCATTCAGCACATATGCATTCAGCATAGCTTTTTCAGTGCTTACTTTATCTCGTGCAGGAATCTTGCCTGTAGTTTTCTATCACATTTGCTACACTTATCTCAGTAATACATCTAAAAAAAGTCATCAAGGGCAGAGAAATGACAGATTTATCAATGAAGAAGTCACTGGATTCAAAGGGTCTTGTCTTTAAAAAAAATATATTAAGAGTATGGAATACATAACCTAGTGGAGCAGCTGTCTTGTAGTGAGCTAAGAAAGGCTAAATAGGAGGTTGGTAGGTAGTGTTAAATTGGAACTTATTTTTTCCCTAGCAGTAAATATAGAAAAAATATCAGAAAAGTGGATTGTTGAAATTTCTGGGCCTTATTGCATTCGTTCACTAATCCTGGCTGCCTACTTACCTGCAGTGAGGAATATCATCCCTGACCTTCTTATTGTGATACCCTGGGGACAGGATCTGACCATAGCTCGAATGCATTACTACTACTGCATTCAACTGCTCTGCCTCTAGAATAAGAAACCGAAGTAATATGATTACCCCAGCATGTCCCGGAAATGATTTTGCAACAGGATAATTATTAAGAGTTGTTTAATTCTACTTCTGATCTGTTTTTACTTGCCATCCAATTCTGACCTTTTCCTGATCCAAAAAATAGTTTTCCTGCCAGATGTATTGGAATGGGATGCCACTGGGGACCGCTTCTTCTCTACAGCTGACCAAAAACTAGTCATTTATTTGGAGCATGTCAAAAACAAATAAATAAATAAATGGGGGAAAATACAGAAAATCATACAAGGATGGCATCATCTGAACTACGATATATTTCAGAGAATTCTACAGGACATATGTGTTTGACAAACACATCCATAGATGATGAGATTAAGAAAAAAGCAAACTGAAAAACAGCAGGAAGCAAACAAACTGTGAAGGGAAAGGAGACTTACATTCACTTCTCTCTTTTTCTGTACTGATATTTCACTGAAGTTGTTTGTGATTGCAGACAGGAAAACATTTTTTCCCCATTGAAATCAAGTTTAAATAAGGTAAACATACCACTGAACCAATGCATAGTCTAATCAGTCAGTGTGCTTATTATTTCTCCAGAACATTATCACACTGTAATTGATAATGGAAGGATATTTTTGCAAGGAGTTTAAATACTTATTTCTCAGGATAATTTTGTGCTGAATCCATTGTACTCCAACATACTGATTAATCAATGAGTTCAGAGGAAACAAATAAACAAAAAAACAACACATTTCTGACAAGAAAAAAAAAAAGAAAAGAAAAACTGAATACAGAAGAGGAGAATCAAATCAGATGAAGAGAAAAATCACCCTTGATTTCTCCTTTCATTTGGTTGCAGGATCTGACAGGAATTTTCTGAACATACTCCACAGAAACAATGAAAATACCTTCCTCTCTTCTAATTCTAACCTAAGTTTGTTGAAGCAGGAAAAAAAAAAAAAAAAAAAAAAAAGGAAAGAAAAGATAAAGAAAGAAAGAAAACACTTTCAGTAGATCTATTCAGACAGACAGCAACATTTTCTTTACTTTGGCTAGTAAAATGCTTGGAAATGGTTCATCTGAACTGACAA